TGGGTGGTTTTTGTAATATTTTTAAATATGAGGGGGTCTCTTATAATTTTGCACTTGAATTTCGATATCGAAATCAGGAGTAAAATTCTGGAGTTATGAAAATTAGAGTGTGTTGATTGGCTTTATTTTTCATAAAAAAATGTCATTTTTCCATTCATTTTTTTTTTTATATTTGATTGATAATTTTTTCGTGGGAAAATATTTTTCAACGTTTAGTAATGTAATCATATTTTCCTTAAAAATAAGAAAAATATTTTATTTAAGGAAATGATTTTTATTTTTTAAGTTCTCTCTCATCTATTCCCACTCACTCATCTACTTACTAAAGAGTGAAAAAGTATAACATTTTATACGTTAAAATTAAATCAATCAAACACATTTAATTAATAATTTTTATACAAATAAGTTATAGGCAATTCTATTGCCTATAATTTATTTTCTTTCTATAGAAATTATATATTTTCAATCAAACGCACTTTTAGAAATTGATGAGTGTAATTTACTCATCGGACATATACCTCTAAAATATAGTTTTTAGTTTGTTCTTGAGCACTTTTGAGTGTTTTGATATGTTTGTTCACGTTGTTTTGTAGTATGGGTAACTTGGAGAAAATGGTATATTTCGGAGCTTGGAATGGAGCTATGCTGTTGATCACAAGAGTGGGCATGGAATGAAGATGAAAGAAAAGAAAAATAAAGTGGAAAACAGGCTAGAACATGAGGTAAATGAAATGAAGAAAACATATGGGCACCATGATGCCGCAAATGTGCCCAAGAAACTAGCGATGGCAAAAAAATATCCTTTAAAACCAAATATCCGCGGGTTCCCGCCCCCATTTAATTTTTTTTTAAAGATTCAATATTTTAAATGAAAAAATTCAACGAAATTCTATTAATTCTATTAGAAGATGGCAACTAAAATTATCCAAAAAATATGATAAACCTTAGTTTATCAAATATATTTGAATAATTTAACTTTTAAAAATAAATTAATTAATTAAATTTTTTAATAACTATATTATTGTCTCGCTTGAATGAATTGGGACAATAAAATAAATTATCAAAAACAATAAAAAAAAAATTAAACGGGCACATAAATGGATAATGGAGCGGGCAAATGGCTAGGGGGCGGAGGAGCTCAAACTCGCCCCATTGCCAACCTTACAAGAAACAACCCAGGAATCAGCAGAGAGCTAAGCATTGTGCGCCCAACTGGTAGAAGAAACTTGCGGCGCCAGCAAAAGAACCCATTGTGGCGCTACCACCCGAGCGAGAAAATCAAAAAAAAAATTTAGAAATTTTTCGTCCCCAGTTCAACTCCAATTCTTCTTGAAACTTTAAGGGATTATAAATACAAACTAGAATCCTTACTTTAATGGGGAAAAGGGCTCAAGAGGTAAAAGGAGAAGAGATTGATTGAAAGCAAGAACGACACCAATTAGGAGGAGAATTTAAGCGGCAAATCAGTTTTTTTCTTATTCTGTTCTTCTTTGTATCATTTCTATTAGATTGGATTATGTCGTTTCTCTTAATCATGAACTAAAATTTAAATCTAGGGTTTGATATAACCTAACTTGATACATGTTTGGATGCTAATATAGTTTTTTCTCGTTAGTTTAATTGTATTGATTATTGCGCATTGCTTTTAATTACCTGATCAATAGTTGAAAGATTTGATACTTTAAATTTCTATATTCAAGAGAGAGAGATATAGGTGTGATCTAGGAATAACATAACTTAGATTTTGCAGGCTTCAATAAAAATATGAAATCTTTGAAGCTTATCCCATATAAGAATCAAGTACTTGATAATTTTTATATTCTTAATTTAGAATAGAAATATTGGAATTAAAATGTAGAGATATGTTCTATTCGACACTCGATGGAGAGAATATAATTAATCTAATACTATTGCCTATAAATTTAGGAAAATATGATAGAAGTAAATATAAAAGTTGAAAAATATTGTTGATGGTGCGATGAAATCATTCTCTAAGATTTCTCATATTGATAAATCTTTTGTAATTTGTCTTATTTTACTTGAACTGTCGCTAAATCCACATTAGATTAGTATCGAAACATCGATTTTAACTTAATTTTCTAAATAAAGTAAAAGCTAAAATAATTATAGTACTTAATAGAAATTAAATATCAATTCCCGTCGGTTTAATACTCTAATCCCTTCATGTATTAAAAAATGACACCGTACATTTGTCGTATAATTTACATTGTACAAAATGCATAGTAGAAATTAATTAATGAAAAGAAAAGTGAAAAATATACCGAGGGTAATTAGCAAAAAAATACCCCTATTTATTGTAAAAATAGTTCTTCATTTCAAACGTTTCTTATGAAATTGGTAATTTCCGTCATGTTCCGTTAAATCTTTTTTGTGAAATATAGGTACTTTCGCATGAAGTTCCATCATTTTAATTTTGACATTTTATAACTCAAATCAGCATTTCTTTGCACAAAAGGTTCTTATCATCTATTTTCCTCATTAATGTATTGTAAAATGACTAATTTATACTCTTCAAATAAACAAATAGAAAAAATTACATTTAGAGTTCCAAATTTTTCAAAAAATTCAACCGAGTCTGAAGTAAAATAATTTAAAATACTATAAGAAAAGAAAAGAAAATTATCTTCTTCCCAATTGACGCACATATCCCTACCTCCATCCCCTACCCTATGGCGCTACCACCACCATAATAATTAGAAAGATAATGAAAAGTATAGAAAAGGTGAAAAAATAAAAGAATTAAAAACAGGGGGAAAAAAAAGAAAAAAAAAATCAAAATGGTGCTTCTTTCTCATATAAATTTCTTTTGCCTCATACATAAGAATTTATCTATTCTTTAACAAACTCAAAAAGAAATTCAAAATATAATGCAATGAGTTTACATGCGTGGATGTAATCAACAAGAAGAAGATAGAAATAAGGATTTGCTGAAATAGCTAAATTTTTCTATTTGTAATTTTTCTTTTCTTTTTTTATCGTTTAATTATCTTTTTAATTATGCTGGTGATCGTGGTAGTGGGGTTAAGGATGGGCTTAGGGTAGGCGTGTTAATTAGGAAAATAAAATATTTTTCTATTGTCACAATATTTTAAATTAGGAATAATTGCAATAAATAACCTAAATCTTTTAAACATTAGCAGACTTTCTTTAAACATTTGATTTACTGCAATCTCACCCCTAATCTTTTCAAACGTTGCGGGTGAGGTCTCAATTGATGGAAAATATCGAATTTATAGTTAGTTGATAAAAAAATTGAGTTTGATCACATTTTTAATATTTTATAAAGGGCAAAATAGTAACTTTTTATTTACCAAATTAAATAAAAAAAAAAGAAAAAAAGGGGGAAAAATCGTATCTTCTTATGACAATCTGCTGAGCTAATGTTGGATTTTCTACTTCCAATGCTACCGGAGGTGGTGGCGGACCATATCTAGTTTTGAAGTCTCTAGTGGTTTTTTCCCTTCTTCTTTTTTCTTCGGAAGTGGGTTTTTCTCTTCTTCCTTCTTCTCTTTCGTTGCCCCTTCGACTGCCTTTTTCTCTGTCCTTTCCTCTTCTTTCTTCTCCCCCTCAGCTGGCGGTGAAGTGGCAGCACTCCTCCACAAGCGGCGACTCCTCATCTACAAGCACAATTCCCCCTTTAATCTGAGAGAAAACACTTCTCTTCTCCATTGGATAGTAAATCAAAGGCACTTCTTCATCGGATATCTCAAAAGTGCTCCAAGCAATTTTCACTTTTCCAAGAAAAGTGCTTCTTCTCACACTCTTTTATCATTGTACACGTTGAGCTCCAAACATCTCCGACGCCATGGATTCAACATCGTGGACAAAGAATTCTAGATTCTCTCGCCATGAAGGATTGGGATCCCGAAAAATTGGCTTCGTACAGTGCTGTCAGCCCTCAAAATCCACGATCACATGTGCACTGGCCTTGCTTTGGCCATATTTGGGTATCAGATTCTTAGTCAATTTGGGTCAGGGAGGGATATCAGATTAATTTTGAGAATTCATTTTGCAGAACTGATTTGGGAAAATTCGATTTGAGAAGTAAGTACTTGAAGAAGACAATGAATTATGGTGTTGGGTGACTAGAGGGTGAAGGATGACGGGAGAGGTGGTGGTGGCGGTTTTGGTTAGGCTGGGGCTGGGCAGGTTGGAGAAGAGGTGGGAGGAAAAAGATACAAATTTCCCCCCTTTTTTTTCCTTTCTAATTTTTGATTTTTAAATTTAATCAATATAATTATTTAATTTGATAAATAGAAAGTTATTTTTTGCCTTTCATAAAAATATTAAAAATGTGATCGAACTCAATTTTTTGGTCAACTAACAGTAAATTGGATGTTTTCCATCCATTGAGACCTTACCTGCAATGTTTGAAAATATATGGGGTAACGGTTACAACAAATCAAAGGTTTGACGAAAGTCTGCTAACGTTTGAAAGATTTGGGATCTCTGTTGCAATTATCACTTTAAATTATTTCATTTGGGACTCATTTGTATTTTAAAAAAAATATGAAATCTCTAGATGCAATTTTGATACTATTTATTTATTGACTATTTAAAGAGGGGGAGGATAAATTAGTCATCTTACAATGTTTTATTAGAGAAAATGGACAGTAAAGATCTTTTGCGTAAAAAAAGATCGATCTAAGTCTTAAAATATAAAAATTGGAAACAATAAGAATGATTTGTGCAATGATGGCAAGGGATAGAAACTTTTAGAGCTAACTACCTATATATTGATGGACGGATTTAATGGAACATGATGGAAATGACCAACTCCGTAAGAAAGGTTTGAAATAGGGGTGTAAATGTCAAGTTTAAAATGACAATTGAGTACAAATGATAATAATTTTTCTTTTTTTTCCTAATTAAGTAGCTTTTTGCTTCAGTTCCTTACGATTTGGGTCTTCCAAGACTTTATGTATTGGGCTGGTAACCTAATCTTTGGACTGGTTATTGGGATCCAGCCCAACAGTGAAAACAATGCACTAACACCAAATTACCAGCGACGTCAAATCAGACAGAAGATTGAAGGAACGTCTTCAACCTCCGACCAGCATCTCTTGCGACTCTTCTATCCTGTACTTCCATCGACACACTGGACGGCGAACCGAAGATTGTTATTTTTTAACCGGTATCCCACCTTTTGCACCTAAACTTGTCGAACAAAAAGCTCATTTTTTTTCGCTAAAGCGTGTTGTTCTGTGGGTGTTCCTTCGACACTTTACTCTCCAACTCACCGACTTTCCGTGGTCACTTATTCCATTCCATAGGTAAAGATTATTTCTTTTATTTTTATCCATCGTTTGAAGGGGTTGAGAATGTGGGTTTTATGTTTTCGGTGAGATTGATAGAATTTCAATGTATTTACCTTTTGCAATTTTTCTGAGAATTATGTAATTTCACTTAAGAAAATTGTTTAATTGCTTGACGGGAATGATTGAATTTTGATGCATTTTCTTTTCTATAATTTTTTTTTTAATGACAAAATAAAAGTGTGCAGATATTGGGTACTTTTGAGGTTTTAATGAAAATTACGAAACTCAGTTGATTGTTTAGCAATGAAGAACACAATGGCAGTTGTTACTGTTTCTGCACTTTTTCACTCAGGTTTTGATTTGTTTTTCACGGGAATCAAACGAAAGGAATTCATATTTTAACTATTTTTCCACCGACTTGGCTAAAACCATTCAAGTTTAATCTCAATTGTTTTTAATTTTTTCTTCCCTTTTCTTTGCATTTACTGGACTCGACAAACTTGCCGGGTGCATAACTGCCAAAAGGAAAAACTTATAGGGCAGGTTTGATTTAGATTTAGATTTTTCGAGAATAAATTTTGTGAAAATTGATTCTTTTGAAGAATGTATGATTAAAAGTACGGAAATGTTGTTGGTCCATGGGCAAAATCATTTAATTGGGATAATATGTGGTTGAAAATTTGGAAATAATGAATTTTAAAGAATTTGTACGATACGTTAGCTTATGATCCATTTTTGTTCCAATTCTTCTCTGGCCCACTTAAAACCGTCCTCCCATAGCCATTCTCGATATTTGGTGTTATCTCTCTCTGCATATATATATTAGCCTATGAGCATGTGTCAGTAATTTTTTTCTTTTTCTTTTTGGTTATTTTGGAAAACCATTTTTAGTGTTTGTATTTGCCGTAAATTAGGAACGTTGCTATGGCGTTTGAGTTGGATCCTTTGGACGATATATTTGCTGAAGACACTGCGAAAAATGGTAAAAGGAATTCTGTTTGTTTAATATGCTTGCTGCTTTTATGTTTTCTGAGTTGCTAATACGAACGCAAACAAAGCTGCAGCTCGGGTCGGTGGTAAGTTTCAACCTAAGGCAAAGCAGAAACCATCAAGAAAGGGCTCAGCTGCAACCTCGGTTTCTTCCTTACAGCCAGTCCCAACCACTGATGTCATTGAGCACGAATCAAGTGTGATTCTCAAGACCAATAAACATTCAGAGCACTGTGAGATTTTTTTTCCTTTTTTAAATATTAAGTATGTGTGTGTTTGAGCCACATTAAGAATGTATTTTGAAATAGTAGATTGATGGAGAATGTGTGGTTAAAAAATAAGGAAAAGTTTTGAATTTACGTGTAATATTATATTACTGAAAAATGCGTGGTTGAAATGATGTCAAATCACTATTTAAGAATATATTTTTTCCAAATAATGCGGTTCAAACAAGGCCTATATTAGAATCGTTTATCTAATAATGCTATAATTTCAAAAAATTAAGAATAACATTTATAGTTGCACTGGTTTCTTGTATTATAGGTTTCCATCGAGATGATCAAAAGAACTCCATATCTGTCACCCTCTCATCCCAAAATATTGTTACAATAGACAGAGCAAACACCACTGCTGGCTTGGTGTCAGATTCAGATGTTTTCATGCCTGATGGCAATTGTAGTTGGCAATCTAACTTTGACAAATCAGGAGAGGTGGGTTTTTGTTTCTTGCTGATTGGTCTGTTGACTCAATTTGCCTGATGCATACTCTTTTTAATTTCAGAATGGAGACATACTTCTTGGGTTGGAATCACTAGATGATTTTCTTCCTCATGCTACGGCTGATATGGGTGAGCAAGATGCTCCTTTCTTTTGATGCTCTGTATATTCAGTGTTAATGCATATCCTAGCCTATTTAGATAAATGCTCATAACAATACTTGCTGCAGAAACCATTGCAGACGGTTCTACTCCTTCAGAGGCAGCATCAGCTGATGTCCCTTGCACCAAAAATGCAGGACTTCCTATTCCAGTTATTTCCTCTATCAATGCTTCCACCTGTCCTCAACAGTCAGCGGTCCAAGATCCTTTAACTGGTGGGGAACCTATCATTTCAATTAGTTATGATGGTGATCACATGGACAATAGAGTGGTGGAAACAGAGGTGAGGATTTATATATCTTTAGACACCTGGATTTCTCCCTTCACCACGAAGTTGAATACGTATCAGTTGACTAATTTGCATTGCGGGAGTTGGTCAATTGCAGGAGATGGATATCATGGATACTCAAGTTTTGTCTGACTTAGCAACTAGTTTTGGTACATATAAAACTGTTGTGTCTACATTGTAAATCTTGCTCATATGTTATTCTTTAAGATTTGACCTAGCTCTTTGTGACCAGGACGGTGCAGTAGAAAATTTCAACCAAAGCCGAAAATACAGATGCAGAATAAGATACATGAAGCCAGCACTATCAATGCTGATGGATTGGAGTCTGCATCATGTCTACAGGATTCACAGTCGATTCCTTCTGAAATTAATTTTGGGGATAAATGCTCAAATCCTGCATTTTCACAGGATGATATTCTGGATCTTTCAGCTGTGGGATTCACTCATGCTATTCCCTCAGAATCTATGGCTGAACTTATTGTGGATGAGGATCCAATAGATCTCATGGAGACTTCTCAGTTGAATCCTGGCTTCATTAGAGACCATCCAGAGTTTGTTCCAAAAATGCCAGCGGAGCTTGTAAACCATTTTAACTTCTGCAATTAGATGGCACACATGTTTGCTATAACGTGTTATCTGTTCCTTATGATTTATTGATCCACCCTTTTTCTGAATATTATTTGGTTATTTATATATAGAGCCATGCACGGACTAGAAAAAGTAAAGCTCGCACCCCAATTCCTTCTCCAGAGCAGCAAAATGCATCCACATCTGGCCAGGAGAATGAAGCTGGTAGATCTTTGAGGCCACGGAAAAATAAAAGAAATCTATTCCAGCTAGTAGATGAATTTGATGACGAGTTCCATGTTGATGGAGAATTTCCAGCTGAATGCCCTAGCAGTTCTGTTGCAGGTGAGGACAACATTTCTGACAAGAAATTTCAAGTGGAAAATGAATCCCAGAGAAAAAAGGTGAAGAGGAATTCTGTGAAGCCCATTAGTGATAAAGAAAAACCAGCTGGAAAGCAGAAGAAGCCGAATGAAACATTGGATCAGGCAGCAAAATTAAAACCTAAAAAGTTCTCTCACTCTACACTTAAGAGACGACGAGGTATATGCAAGATCTGAGCGTTGAGAGCTGCAGCATATTTTGTTTCCTTTTTAGGTGTTGACCATGAACCTTTTATGGTTTATAGTGGACAAGGTTTTGCTCGAAACTCCTGAGGATGAGATTGACTTCCAAAAGGTGCCTCTTAGGGATTTAATTTTGCTTGCGGAGCACAAGGAGCAGCTGCAGGTATTTTCTGTGTGTGTTTTATAGCAGTAGCTGCATTTGTAGTAACTGTAGCAGCAGCAGCAGTACTACCATTTCTGATATCTCTTGTTCACCATAATGCAGAAAAAAGAGGCAACAACTGGAGTACCCTCTACTAATCAGAGGTAATGAAATTTTCATTAGATATCCCTTGTGTTCAACATATAGCTTTCCTCATCCTTGTTGCAATGACTTTGTTTTTATCTTTTGTTATACTGTTACTAGGATATGCCAAATTGACAATTCCCCCCTATGCCACCAAATTCCAAGCCAGTTCTCTTTGCATTTAGCACAAAAATGTCTATGCAACAAAGAATTTATGATATTTTATGTTGAAGAAAAAACATGTTCTCAATTCTATATCAGGAACTGGTAGTAAGCAGAAACGGATGCTTGAATGAAATGATTGTCACGGGTCCAGTGAGGATTAAGCTAATCGATCAATTTCTGGAGAAATTGTCCATGAGAAATGCAGTATATTGTTTTACATATTGGCGTTGTTAGCTTAAGTAAGATTTAAGCATGTACAAGTCAGAAGATTGCATGTACAGCAGCCATAATGTTGAGACTGTAATTCATTGATCAAACGCTGTAGCAGTCAAGAAAATATCTATTTCGAGTGATAACTTAGTCAATTGAATTCTTGAATTTGCAAGCAATATGTGTTTGATGTATGAAGTTCCTCTTATATTCTACTAACCATAAATACGCATATTCAGTCATAATAGCATCCTGAAGCTTTTACGCCTGTCAATTCTTTGTATCCACTTCTAAACTGGTTTTCCTTGTCTGTCATTCATGCTTGACTATATTTTGGAACAAGATTTAGCCCCCGTTTGGCCCCCATTCTTTCCAAATTTTAATGGTTGAAATAGTGTTTTTTTTTTAAAAAATGTGTGGTTGAAAATGAATGAGAAGTTTTTGATTTTTGTGTAATATTATTTTATGGAAGATTGTGTGGTTGAAAATGAGAGAGAGAAAAAGAATGAAAAAGAGAATGGGGGCCAAACGGGGGCTTAGTGTCAGTAGCCTAATTTTACATTTTAATGATATCTGATTTTAAATATTAGTTGTGCTATGTAGTAATGGTAATCCCTCGGAGAACTATAATGAGGATGAGCCCTTTGCATCTGAACGAGATGGAGAATATGACCGTGAACAAGAAAGCCAAAGGGTTGAAGAAAGCAACATATACTTCAATTATCAGACTTACATGGACAGGACTCCTAGAGTAAGATGGTCAAAACAGGATACAGAGTTGTTCTACGAGGTATATTGTGTTGTTTGTTATATATGTTTGTAGGAGACTAGAGAAAATAATGAAATAAGTCAATTGAACCTAAGGTCTTCTGCCCCATAACGAGTCTTAATTGCTAGTGAGTACCTACTCGGCTATTGAAAAGCTTACCGCCATTTCTGGTGTTGTAGATAAGTAAACTAAAATGCTTCCCCAACTTAGAAATTAGGAAGCTAGGGCATCATGGAAAAGAAAATTCTTCCCATTTATCTTTTCTGATATTGACAGATTTGTACACTTTGCTGCCTAGTTATGGAATCTCTCAATGCCATTCCATACTTCGTCAATAGATCTTGCACCAAAGCTGGTCTTAAATTTGTCAGTAGGGATCTTAATTGTCCGTGACCTTTGATGCTCGGGCTCTTCAAAATAATCAAAGCACACGTGTCGGATACCACGCGACATTGGTATGGGTATGGGATATGTGTCGGATCCTCCAAATTTCAACCGGACACTTCATCGTTTTTGCTTCTCCTTCTTTCTCTCTCTGTAACGGTGGTTTAGGGTTTCGTTGGTATAAAATGAAAATGGGTTTCATATAGTGCTACTTAGTGTTCCACTAGGTCCAAATTGCAATCAAATCTCTATTTCTATTTTATATAATATTTAGTAATTTTCATGATTGAAAATTAAACTCCAAAATTCTATTTTATTGGTCTTAACACATGTTCAATACTCATTTCCTTTTTTTGTTAATAATTTAATTTGGTCTATTCAACTGACATTTTGGATTAGTAAAAAAATTAAAGTTTGAAAGACGTATTCACGTACCTGTATTCAAAATTTGGATTCTTTTTAATCATGTCCTGTACCCTATATTTTAGAAAATAAAAGATATGACACTTAGATATGTACCCGTACCCGAGTCCGAGCATCATAGGCCGACTACTTCCTGGGTTATCATGTTGATAAATCAATTAGACTTTTCACAGCTATTCATTTAAAATATTTTCATTTTGTTTCATTATGTGTATGTGTGATCTATACTGTAACCCTTCAAATTGTAGGCAATACAGCAGTTTGGGACAGACCTTTCTATGATACAACAACTTTTTCCTGGTCGTACCCGCAACCAAGTTAAGCTGAAATACAAAAAGGAAGAACGACAGCATCCGATGAGGCTTCGTGAAGCTCTGACTAACCGTGCTAAAGGTCCATTCATGTGCTACTTATATCTTTGCCTACGAGATTTCACCAGTAAAATGAGTCTGTTTTGTGTTCTCATTTTTTTTGTATTTCAAATGTCTTTAATGAGAGTGATTTATCTTGCAGATCATTCCCATTTTGAAAAGGTTATTGAGCATTTACAACAAATTGCTGCAGAGGAAAAACAGAACAGCAATAAAGACGACTCCATAGATTTGACTGGCAATGAAGATGCTGAGGAGGGAAGTCATGAAGCTAATGTATCGACCTTTCTTATGCATTGTTTTCTTATGCTTTTCCATTTAAAATCTTGTGCCATTTATTTTTATACAGCCCAAGTATGTGGGAAATCTGTGTTTAGTAATTTTCATGTCAAGAACCTGTATTTCTCAGGCCTGTGCACGTGTTGCGTCTTGCTTTCCTGTTCATGTCAATTTTAACCCCAGTGGTTTTTCGAATCAAAATCACATCCCTTAGTGATGAAACTTTCTAGTTTTCTGGAACTTGACGATGCCGTAACTGACACATTTTTAATGGTTTCTGTGCTGTGCAGGAGGAAGAACTGAAGGTGGAACGTGAAGGAGGAGAAAATGAGTATACGGCTCAAGAATTTACGGAAATTCAAAGTCCTGTGAAGTCTTGTGATAGCGAAGATGATTATTATCTATGGAGTCAATACAAGAGTGATATATGACAAGTATTGACAATATTTTTCTATCTTAAATGCTACATAACGCAATTTTTTTTTCTTCGCTTGTGGTTCTTGTTCATGATTTGTAATCAAATGATCTTCGTACATTAGGTCCAAGATCAGAAGGACATTCGAACTCCCAGAAACAGGCTGCCGAGGTGGTTATTCTCTCCTTAAAAGTATTTTTTTTATCAACACCTTTGTTCATCATTCCGTGTCTCCTGGGTGATGGTTGCAAAGATCTGATGTTTACGCATTTTCTTTTTAGACATACCATGTTCCAATGGACTAGAGATGAGCTGTGTGTTCAAATCGATTCAATTGTTTTTGTGGAATTAATATTGACACATCACTGACATTCTTCCTCAGCAAGAGGACTAGAGTCCGATTATAACTTCATGTTAGAATCTTTTACTCACGACTGCTCTTGGATGTTCATGACTGCATGTAAGTACTCTAGTTGATATTTTGTTGTCTTTTGTTCTTTCAAAGATGCAGATTCCCATTCCCTCGAGATGGAATCTGCCTTGCTTCAGCAAGAAGCAATGAGAAGTTATTCAGCTTCAACAGAAGCAGGCACATAATTTAAAGTTTCCTCAGCATACGACGTCCCCATATAACCCGATGGATAAGTTTTTCCAAGTCAATCGTGTCCGAGGGAAAGGCAATGTATTCTTGAAACAATTTTACACTGTCAACTGATTGTTTATAGGTTTAGTCCAGGACTCTATCGGCTGTAGGGTCGTTACTACATTCATGTAACATTTTGTAGGATCTACAAGTATTATTTACTTTTTCACTGCTCATTTTTATGTGTTTATAAACATTACCCATACATACTAAGTCTTCAGTCTCAAGTAATGTGCCAGTTTGGTGGTAGTAATTTATCTGCAGCTTGTAAATTGTTAACTTACTTTGTGATGGTAAATGGTTGATTAGTTCCCCCACAACCCCCACAATAGTATGCCAACATAATATTTTCAGGTTTAGATGCTGGCCAAAAATAAGATAATCTCGAACTTGTATCAATTAATTACTTGAATACGATATCGTTGTTCTCAAATAATATTTGCCCATTCTCCTATGAATTTGAGATGCTTGGAAAGTTGTTGGCAAATGATTTGCAGGATTGCAACAAGCCTTGCAAGGATTTAAACACCAAAATACAAGTGCAATATCCTAGAAAATTTGAAGAACACAAAGAATGAATATGACTTTTAAAGACTTTGATTTTGGAGTAATATGGAACCTTGATATTTTGTAATATTTTGCCTTCAATATGGATCCATTATTTATAGGCACAAGTCACATTTACGAAATAATGCCAAAATATAACCTAAAAGTCATTAAAATTGAACTTACAACAGCCAAAAATCGACCTCAAACGGTCGGATTTTTTGTGCCATGCAACCGCATGGTACAAATTCATGCGGTCGCATGGTTAAACTCAAATCGGGCCTCTAAGTTTCAGTAGGTCCTTGTGCGACCGCAAGGTTATATGCTTGTGCGGTCGCACTGGCCACACTTGGGGCCACCATTTTCAATTTCATTCCAACTTTTACTTCCATTGATTTATTGATATTGAACAACAATTATCAACAATCCCTCACTTGTTCAATATTCAATAAAATCTCATATTCACATAATACGATACTCATGCTTAAAGATTAGATATCTTTCGATTTGAATCTAACCACAGTGTAATTCCTACAAAGGAAAGTCGGAATCAAAGGAAGCGTGTAGCTTTGAACCAGTTATTCCATATGACAATACCGGTAAGAACACACACGAGTACCACATGTTCTCAAATTCATCATAACTCGCTTAGCGCTTTTATGGCCTTGCGCTTATCATTTTCAACAATTTTTTAAGAGAGAAACTCCAACCCTCTATTAAGGCTGCACCACCTTGAAGATTTTTTAGGTAAAATTCTTCCAGTACCTTTGTTACCTTTAGAGGTACTTATATTTTAGCATTGAACTTCATTAAGAGCTTAAAGCTCATCCCTCATTTCAGTAACAACCATCATTAATTTAATTAGGATATGATTATTGTGGATTTTTTAATAGTGCTGCAACCATTCACATATCGAATGATTTGTTGTTACCATTGGAACCCATAAATTACCTTTTGAGTAATGACAGATAGGGTTGCCGTCATTGGTAAACCTTTTTAGTTAAGGAGTTTCAACCCCATCCTACTCGAAGTAGATACTACTAAATCTCTGTTTAGAGGTTTAGTCAAAGAATTCGTCAAATTCTCAATTGACCTTACATAATTTAGGGAAATTATTTTATCCTTAATTAACTTCCTTATATAGTCATGTCTAAGACTCATGTGTCTAGACTTTCCGTTGTATACCTCGTTGTATATTTTTGCTAATGTGGCTTGACTATCACACATGATAGGTATTGAAGAAATGTTCATCGATCCCAAAGGTATCTCATAAAAGAGATTCTTAAGCCACTCTGCTTTTTTCCCGATATTTGATAGGGCTACAAATTCTGATTTCATAGTTGAGTGTGTTATGCATGTTTGTTTCTTTGATTTCCAAGAAACTAAACCTCCTTCTAGAGTGAACACCAAACCTGAGGAGGATTTACTTTCACCCGTGCTAGATATCCAACTAGCCTCGGGAAATCCTTCCAATATTACCGAGAATTTAGTATATTGCAGGCCTAAGTTCTTGATTTTCTTTAAGTATCCAAGAACTCTCACAATGGCCTTCCAATGATTATTACTCGGATTGCTAGTAAACCTGCTAAGTTTACTTTTGGCATAGGCTATGTCCGGTCTTGTGCATTGAACTTCATACATAAGACTTCCCATGACACTAACATATTCAATTGAGCAATTGCCCTTCCATCATTCTTTACAAGTTTTGAACTTGGACCAATCGGGATACTATATTCTTTTATGTTCAAGTGTTTGAACTTGTTTATCACATTCTCAATATAATGTAATTGACTTAGGTGATAACCCCCACTAGTCTTCGTAACTTTGATACCTAAAATGGTATCCACTTTACCAAAAATCCTTCATCTTGAATGTGGAAGATAGAAATCTCTTTTTTGCTTCTATATCGTCCATGTGATTACTTATAATTAACATGTCGTCAATGATAAGTGTGTTTTTACACACTTATTTAGCTCATAAACATGACTTAAACATGAAAAAAGTAGTTGAATTGTGATTTAATCTCGTTAAATTCATGCGATGTAGGTGTTTCTATGGAAAAGATGGAATTCAGAAGAAAAGAGCCGAAAAGGACCAAAACGGAACAAAGCGATATTTCGGGAACCAAAGGTGAAAATATTGGAAAGTTGAGCTAAAGTGCAGAACGAGAGTGAAAATATGCCAAGTATGATATTAAGGACGATACAAGACGATCGGAGGAAGAAAGAAGTAATATTGGACTGAATTGAAGAAAAGTGAAAGATGAAGGACTAAATTGCAATTAATCAAAAGATGAGCCGAGCAAGTGATCAAGGAATCGATTGACCAAAACGTTAATTAGGAGTCAATATTTGATGATGGAACAAAGGAAAGAAAGAAAAGAGGAAACGAAGTTCAGGGACAAAAACAGCAAGGTTAAAAGTTACAACCATGCGGCCTCACAGAAGGTTGCAGGCATTTCATAGAGCCATTTGACTTGAACCATGTGGTCGCATGGTTTAACACCATGCAGCCGCATGGCTATAAAAACCAAAAAAAAAAATTCTAAACTTACGTTTTTAATTGAAACTCTTTCGGGGTTCCGTGAGGACATGATATAAAAGCCAAAATTTATCAGAAATAGGGTAGAACGTCCATGGAGAAGAAAATTATAACTTTTGGAGGCAAGAAACACGATCTTGAAGCCGGTTCCACAAGAATTCAAGCGGGTTTTCAAGGCTTTATTTAAGATTTCAAGAAATTTTCATTCGGATGCTATTCTTTCAATTTATTGATTTCGTTTTTTATTCTATAATTATGAATATTCTAGGCTAGGTTTTCAATTCACTAGGTGATCGATGAACCATTGTTTGTTATTTTAATTCCATATTTCATGAATTTAATATAAAGACTCGTTTGGATAATTTTATTGGTTTATATGCATTGATTTTCTTCCGCAATTAGTGGCCAATGATTGTGTGAGTGTTGATGACTTATTTCTTACATTCGAGAGAAGTGAAATAGGTTTGATAAGGTATAAATCAACATAGGATCTGATATGGGATAGAGATATACCCCTATGCTTTATGCAATTCTCTAATTGTTCACAAAATCACATGCATTCTTGTATATTTGTATCATCCATAGAGATATAGGCTGGTGGTGTGCAAGAATAGGTCTAATATATATTGAGAGAATATGTTGGATAGATTTAAGAACATTGAATTGGCATATTTCCATCGGGTTATTAATTTTATGAAATTAGGGTTTTTATAGCTTCAATTGGGGATTCGTGATCCTAGTGACTTTATTTTGATTCATTTCCATAAATTAACTTTTCAATTTGCATAATTTTATTTACTAGAGTGTTTGAGTCGTTTAATTAGATAAATTTCGAGATTAGGGTTTCTAATTGAGAAATTAGGGTTTTTAATTGAAATTAGGGCCTTTTGCATTTGGACCATATTTTCACTCAATTAGATTTGGTTAAGGCTAGATTATATAGAATTGAACTACTCAATCTCTGTGGGACAATATTCGGACTTTTAAAAATCCACTTTATTACTTGTTACGATTCGTACACTTGCGATAGTTTTAAATCGAAAGAATTATTTCGTGAACAGCCAACATATAAACATATAAATGTCACATAATCATGATACACTTTAGAATATAAATATCTATCTACGCTATTATGTTTAAATCTGAATGATGTTATAGCTAAGTCAAACTTCTCATGTCATTTATAAGGTGTCTGCTTCAAACCATATAAAAATTTTACTAACTTGCATACCATATGTTCATTTCCAGGTAGAACGAACCCTTCGGGTTGCTCCATATAGACCTCCTTATCGAAATCCCCATTTAAGAATGCCGTCTTGACATCCATTTGATGAACATGCAAGTCATATATTGAGGCCAATGCGAATAATATCCTAATCGATGTTATTCTCGCTACCGGTGCATAAGTGTCAAAATAGCCGATTCCTTCCTTTTGTCGATATTCTTTTGCTACTAATCTAATTTTGAAAGTATTTAGAGAGCCATCAACATTATATTTCCTCCTAAATACCCATTTACATCCAATAGGTTTGGATCCCTATGGTAGATCGACAAGTTCCCAAGTTTTATTAGACATTATCGAATCCATTTAATCTTTAATTGCATCTTTCCAAAAAATGCTATCATGAGAAGCCATAGCTTCTTTATAGGTTTTAGGGTCGGTTTCCACTTGTAGAACAAAATGAATTATTCTTACAACATTCAACTCATTTCCTTCTACTAAGTAAAAGGAGATAAGTTGAGAATCAATTTCATCTGGTCCCAAAGACTTCTCAACTCGAGTTCTCTTGCTTCTTCGTGGTTCACTAGATTCGTCAACATTTTTAGAAGACATTTCATCACGTGTTCCATTTGAGATAGGGATGTTTTCAATATTTTCCTTTAATTCATTATCCGACGATAACAAATTTTCAAAGAACTCTACATCACTTAATTCGATAATCACATTGATCTCCAAGTTTAGCAATCTATAAGATTTGCTATTATTAGCATATCCAACAAAAGCACATTTAATGCCTCTTGGACCGAATTTGGTCCTATTAGGATTTGTGTTCTTGCAATACTTTGAAGTATCCAATGTTCGATTTTCTTCATTTCCACAATTCATAGGGAGAAACCTTTGTATGTTTAGAAGGAATTCTATTGAGTATCCTACATGCACTTAATAAAGCGTTACCCCATAAATTAAACGGAAACTTAGCAAATATAAGCATGTCATTAATCATTTCTATTAAAGTTCTATTCTTCCTTTCAGCCAAACCGTTTTGTTCAGGTGTCCTATGTGCAGAACATTGGTGAATTATGTCATGTTGTTCACAATATAAATTAAATTCACTAGAGAAGTATTCATCACCTCTATCGCTTTTTAAGGTCTTTATTTTCTTATTTAAGTGATTTTCAACTTCATTTTTATAGGTCTTAAACAAATCAAAGGCCTTATATTTATGTTTCATCAAATAAACATAAGTATATCTTGGGCAATCATCAATAAATGTTATGAAATATCTATTTCCACCTCTTGTTAGCATGTCATTCAATTCACATATATCGAAATGAATTAATTCTAATATACTAGAAGTCCTCTTAACGCTTCGATAAGGCTTTTCAACCATTTTTGCTTCTACACATGTTTTGCATTTAATGGCATCATTTTCATCATATGAAATTAAGTCACAATTTCTCATGCGTTTCATGGTACTTTTATCTATGTGACCTAATCTAGCATGTCAAAAGAAAATAAATCAATCATGTAAACAAAATCAACTTTATTTATTTCATTGTTAATAGTACAAAATTTGACATTTCCTTCACATAAATAGCCCTTTCCAACAAATTTCCTGCTAAGTGATAATACAAGTTTACCGTACTCAAAGACACTTTTAATGCTCGATTTTCCCAAAATATTTTCACTCACTAAGTTCCTATTAATATCTAGAACATGTAGTATATTTGTGAGAGTAACATTTTTCCCAGAAGTGAAGATAAATTCTACACTTCCTTTTCCAATTACTTTGGACCGCATCTCATTACCCATTTGGATCTCTTGGTCTCCATTCACTTCATTGTATGTTTTGAACATAGATTTGTCATATGATACATGCACCGTGACACAAGTATCATATCGTCAGTCAGGAACCTTTCCCTTAATTGCATTTATTTCGCTTACGGTGGCCACAATCTTATTTTGTTGGATGGAATTCACTTTACCCTCGGAGTCGTTGTATTTCCTGTGTCTACAATCTTTTGCATAGTGTCCAGATTTCTCACAAACAAAGCATCCTCCTTTGGTCTTCTTCTTGAATTTATTAAGGTTCCTTGAAGGCTTCCTTTTGTTGGATTTTGTTGGCGGTTCGAAATTTTCTACAGCATTTACTTTGGAAGTGCCCTCATGAGAAGCACTTTTATCACGTATTCTCGACTCTTCCTCAATCCGAAAATATTTTTGCAGTTGTTCCAAAGAATAATCTTCGGAACTATGCATTATCTTCTTCCGGTATCCTTTGCAAGTTCCGGGAAATTTGGCAATTATAGCCCTCACTTGAAAGGTCTTTGGTATTTCAATTTTCACCGCCTTCAACTTATTGACAATTACTCGCATTTCATGTATTTTGGGAAGAAGGGGAATATTCTCTAAAAATTTAAAATCGAAGTACTTAAAAATTAAAAATTTCTTTATACCTTCTTCTTCCGCTTTGTACTTGTTTTTGAGCACATCCCAAATTTCTTTTGTTGAAGTTATGTTTGTATATAAGTCATACAAACGATCCGATAATGCGTTGAGGATGTGACCGCGACATATTAACTCATCTTCTTGGCGCTTTTGTCTTTCATTCCTCACCGCTTCGATTTCTCCATTTGTTGGTTCCGATAGTGGCGCCAATTCTAAATCTAGGATGTAGAAGATCTTTAGTGCGGTGAGAAGAAACTTCAATTTGTCTTTCCATCGATTGTAGTTCGTTCCATCATACCGATCTAACCGCACCAAATCTTGATTCATGAGTTTGATTGTCGCCAACGTTGTCTCGCTTTCCATTGCAGAAGTATCGTTTGAGATTGTTGGAGAAAATTCACCGGATTGGAGTAGAGATCACAAAATATGAACCGAAAATGCCAAAAACAAGATAATCTCGAACTTGTATCAATGAATGGCTTGAACACGATATCGTTGTCCTGAAATAATATTTGCCCATTCTCCTATGAATTTGAGATGTTTCGAAGGTTGTTGGCAAATGATTTGCAGGATTATAACAAGTCTTGCAATGATTTAAACACTAAATTACAAGTGCAAAATCCTAGAAAACTTGAAGAACACAAATAATGAATATGGCTTTCAAAGACTTTGATTTTTTATTTTGAAAGTAATATGGAACCTTGATATTTTGTAATATTTTGCCTTCAATATGGATCCACTATCTATAGGCATAAGCCACATGTACGAAATGGTGCCAAAATATAACCCAAAAGTCACCAAAATTGAACTTACAACGGCCTAAAACCGACCTCAAACGGTTGGATTTTTTGTACCATGTGACTACATGGTACAAATCTATGCGGTCACAAGGTTAAACTCAAATCGGGCCTCTAAGTTTCGGTAGGTCCTTGTGCGACCGCAAGGTTATATGCTTGTATGGTCGCACAGGCCGCACTCGGGGCCATCATTTTCAATTTCATTCCAACTTCTACTTCCATTGATTTATTGATGTTGAACAACAATTCTCAACAGGCGATACACGTGTTATTACCTAATGGTTTTTTTAATTTTTTTTTCTTTTGAATTTGTTGTCTTTTTTACTCATTTAAAAATACGAGGGATTAGTAAATCCTTTTATGCCCTCTAATAAAATTATTGAACGAAAATCATAATTAGGGATTCAATATGTTAATTAATAAAATTTTGAAGAGAAGAATATGACCAAAAAAATTTAAGAGATATAAATGTAGTAATGAATAAAGGGTAGATTTTAATTACAATTAAAATATGATGATATAAACAAAATTTGTGGGGCGAACATAATTAATAACCCTTGAAAATATATTTAATTGTAGTGAATATAAGGAATAGATCATGAGGAAATTACTCAAAACCCTAGTATAAAAATCTTGAATTCTAAAATCAGGGGGAACTTTCAGTTTTCAAAAATCATATTTTTTATTTCAATTAATTTTTTTAAATAAAAGAAAATATGTACACTCCAATACACACAAACCCTAATTAATTCCCACTCTCTCTCTCTCTCTCTACATTTCTCCAACAATCCAGTTGCCTTCCTCTATTGTGGTGTGACAGTGTGGTGGTGGTGGTGGTGGATCTGGCGGTGAGGTGCGGCGATGGGTTGTGGCGCAAAGTGGTGTTGATGGTGGCGAAGCAAATCTACAACCTGCGTGGGCGAAGTGGTGTTTTGTGTGGTGGTGGTAATGATGTTTGTGTGGTGGCGGCTGATAGTGTCGGATTTGGTGGTTGTGGTGATTGATGGTATATCTGGCGATGGTGGGTTGCAATTCAAAGTGGTGTTTTGTGGGGGGTGGTGGTGATGGTGTGTTCCTTGTGTGGTGGTGAATCTGACGATTGTGGTGATGGTGGTAGATTTGGCAGTATGGTGCGGTGGTAGCACAGGTGGTTGATGGCTGGTATGGTGCGATAGTTGTGGTGATTTTGGTCATTAATAGTGTGATGGTGGCAACTTACATGTTTTGAAGGTGGCGGTGGCGGTAGACGACGATGGTGCTGTTGGAGCAGTGGTTGTTTGGTGGTGGTCACATATTAATTGGTTGGTTGTGTCCATTAAATTGATTCATTTGTGACCAATAAACAATGTATAACCAATAAAAATAATAAATTGTGACCAAGAAATAATGTGTGGCCAAAAAATTTAATAATTTTTTACTATTTAATAAGTTGTGACATATAATATTTGTAATCTGTGACCTATAATTAATTATGACGTATAAATTTTTTATCTGACCGATGAACAAATTATGACCTGAAAAATTTTGGAATTGTGATCATAAAATAATTTGTGATATTAGAAAATTCTGATTTGTGATCGAAAAATAATACGCTACTAATTAAATTGTAAATCTATGATCAAATTGTATGGATATATGACTTTAGTATATTTAATTAATTAAATTATAAATAAATTTTAATGAATATCTAATTTTAGAAATTTGAAACTTTTATTTTTACTTTTAAAATGGGCAACAGTCATCCTTATCCTTATGAAATTTTCCCACAGATCATTATGCACATATACAACAAAGGAATGGCCCAATTGTAGTCACCCTGATCCATCACGCATTGTCCCGTTTTGAATGGTAAACCTTGTCGTACTTGCCCCTAAATCTCCTAACACGTTCTAAATTTTTTTTATTTAATTATTATATTTTTTTTAACTTAAAAACGATATTAATAAGCAATTAATTAATTAAATTAAATAGTAGATGTGAATTTTATGTTCCTGCCCTTCCAAAGTCTCTGATGGGACGGGAATGGTAATAGGCTAAGAGCCCCTCCTCTTCATCCCACTTGTATTTTAGCATTAGGTAGGTTGAAAACATAATCACCGTTGTAGATCTAAAGCTAAAAATTCTTCTTAGTTTCTTTTTCTATTAAAAATTTCAGATTAATTTCAACTCATTGTTTTCTAACTGAGAAATTAATTTCAGAAAAATGTGATTAAGATAAAATCACTTTATACAAAAAGATAAAAACATGAACTTTTTAAAATTATAACGTTGGTCACTTAAACAAAGGTCTATTAGAAAATCTGACGAGAATGTGACATGCTAACAACAAAAATGAAATTTTCCTCATGTACAGAAGTAGGGTTCACAGAACCCGACTAGGTAACTAACAAAAGTGGGTCCACCTGAATAAAAAATGGCCAAAAATTAACCCACCCCTCATTATTTGTGACTTGTAAAGCACTCGTGAAAAGCACCCCTATCCGCCAATCATCACTCAACAAAAATTGTGTGAGAATAAAGCTAAGGTTTGTGTTGTTGCATATTTGATTCCACTTGTTTAAACTATTACAAGTTGAAACAAAGGCTTTAATTGAAGCTCTTTCAAAATCCTAATGGTCGATAAGTAAGGTATATCTATGGTTTGTAACACTACCTAGCAATATTAAAATGAGTGAGGTCTTTTCAAACAGAGAAAAATCAACAAAATTTTGAAAGATATACACTTCATATAATCTTTACAATATGAATGAACACAGAAATTTCGCTCTACACAAACCCATTGGTTCTTTCTCCATTCTTAGCAGACCTTTTCTGTACGTCTGCATCATAATGTGCAAAGGCAGCATCTAAAGCCTGCATCAAGCAAGTTTTTAATGTAAACCGTGGCTACAGAAATATCTACTTATGAGTAAGGCCTGCATAAAAAGAAACATGTTATGAATTAATTGAGAGTTAGCTAACAAAACCTGAAGCATTGGATGGACAAGGAAACTTCATGCCGGAAATCTGACTGCACAGATTCCTTAATTTCCTGGAATTTGATAAAAAGATACGAAATATTACACACGTATACGGGAAACAATTGTACATACCGCTGATAACAAAAGATACCTGTAGCTTCGGATATACTTGTGACAAGGCATCTTACAATCTGGTTACCTGTGAACGAGTAAACTGTTTTAAGATAATCAACAGAATCTGAAGTAGCATTTCAAGTGGAATTGCCTTAATATAGTCAAGCAAGCAATATTTACAATGTAATCAGCAATTTTATGCAATTTCTGTATTGAAGATCAATAAAGGTCGCCAATAGAGGTGGAAATGTTTTTTTTCTAGAAACTGAATTTTTTTCAGAAGGTTTTAAGTGTTGCTTACTGTCATCATTTTCAAACATGAAAAAAAGGGCATAATTACCTTTGTATAAAGATACTTTGTTGTAATTGGATATGATGACCAGAAATGTTTCAATAATTCCTGGATAGACGTCCAATGCTACAAAATAACAACTACATTTAGGAAACATCATTAAAGAGTAACATACCAGAAATGACCATGGAAGCACTACATGTGTTCGATCAAGTACCAAGTATTTGTGTGCACTCACATGTAAGAGATCCTCTCTAGTAACTTTTGGCAAACTATCCAATACGCTCTCATGTGGGTTCTTTCCAAGATGGTATTTGGTGCTCGATATATTCTGGGTCAAGCCACTGAGAACCTATATAATAGTAAGCAGTTTTGTTTTCCAGAATAAACATTCAAATGCCCACAACATATTTTCAAGTAAATTACATCATTAGAAGTTTATACCCACACAAAATATACATGTGAAAATGTAATACCGTAAAAGCAACTTCTGGATTTGTGATTGGTTCACTCAACCCCCTGACTCTAATCTCAGATACAAGTTCCCTTAAAGAACCATAGGCTTCAAGTGGGCTTACATTACATTTTAATGTCTTCAGACCAGAACCAGTATCTCCTAACGCCTTTAATGCATTAGCTTGCTGAGAATCGAAGTAGTCCCCAGGATCCTGTTTAAAAAGTAAGACTTAAGATGATCAACAGCATTGTTTTTCTTTTTAAATTTTCCTGAGTGTCACTTTATCAATAAACTTAGATGACATATATTATTGATATACCACTGCAAGTAAAAAGTAAAATAAAATAAAATGCAATACTCAAACCTTAATACAGAGGTGAGCAACTGCAGGGTCTCGAGGCCCCTGAAGATCATCCATCTCGGCAATTCGAGAGATCCTGTGTGAGAGATCTATTTCTGAATTCCCTTCAGATGCTTCATTTGCCAACTCAGCTGCAAAGATAGTAGAAAATCAGTTGCTCTATCTTTTTAGTTTCACAAGTAAAATAATAGCATACATATTGCCATTAGTGAGGGAAAGAAGCCCTCCTCTGACCTTGTTTTGTACGAGCAAGTGCTTCAGCCACAGACCTTGTGTCTCCAAGCTCAACATCTATTCTCAGATTGTAAAAACAAAAACAAAAACAAAAGCCATTAGCCTGTCATACATTACACTTATGCCACAAATATTTGTGTTAAAAATA